TTAACAAAAAATGCGACAATATGTTAATGGTTCACCATTAAATGATTTGTCCAGTAAATTTAATTTGCGGTTTGGAAACCATTGTATAATTTGCATATTGTTTCAAAAAATATTGTTGAATCATATATGCAGAAATCCCATTAACTTTAATGGTTTGAGCAGAGATAAATGGTTTTAGATTTTAGGGTTAGATTCAAGTTATTTACCATTAATTCATTCTATAAGTTGAAATTGTTGTCTCAAGACTATAAACAGAAGAATGAGGCCGGATTTCAAGATTGCAATCTCTATTAATCAATAAAATTGCAAGCCTTATAATCATCCAAATCAAATGCATAATTTGTTACACAACTACATTTATGGTCAAGCATTTTGAATTATACAAATACAAGCCTGGTATGAATCAACACATAATATAAATGCGCACATTCATCAAGAGGGCTGTATTTCAAGTTATAAACCTTAAGAATTATAATATGCGTTAGTACTTCAAATATAAATATAAATATTACAGCACAAGAATAACAACAGTACAGAGGCTAGCATCCCATGAAACTTACATACTACAGGCATAAAACATGTGATGCAACATTATAACAAGTTATCCTATCTATACATGTTTATGTGCATAAAGCACTTGATTAGTAGGATAGAAATAAAAAGAAAAAAGTAAGGTTAGCAGTCTTTTACAGACTAGTCTACAGTATTTAACAACAAATGATAAAGTTTCCAGTATCCTTTTAAACAGAGTTTAATTATTGTAGATACCTCCTGAAGGCCATTATAACGACTTCCGTTTTTTGAGATCAGAATTAGAATTTTCATCACTAAATGTATAGCACCTAACTGAGGATGCTTAAAGTGTACCTGATATAGCCACTTCTCTATCAAATAATTCACTTGATGTGAGCAACATTTTAATGCTTAACCTACCTATTAGGTATCAAACTTGATTAAGTTGTATAACATAAAAAATCATGTATCTAAAAGTTACAGCGTAATAGTTGAACAAATGAACGTAGAAGATATCAGAAAATTGAGAGATTGATATAGGGTGGAATTTAAAATTGAAGAATAAATATTTGAAAGTTTGCCGATAATGAACTATCATACATCATACTATAATCATTATTGAATCAAATTTTGGGGAGTATTCTCTAGGAGAATCAAGGGAGAGTGTCAGAGTAAGGGTCAATTGTACAAGCTCAGTTTAAAATAAGGCTTACCTCACAACACAAGAGGATACGCAGTCAGGGTGTAGTACAAACTGGGCTAGATATAGTTCTTGGAAGTTTGCATTAGGAATTGGCAGAGATAGTTGCATAGTATTTGAAAGGAGAAGTTACAAACGATATGCCATAAGGGTTGTTAAAAGTAGTAGATTAAATTGGTTTAAGCCCTTAGTCTACATAATTTTCATAACTACATTGAGCGAAAGACAAATTCCTAGAAGAGAAATTAGCATGTTCCAAGCAAGGCTCCCACTATATACCTCATAGTGTCTCAGAAATGGCTCGATAGTTATTCACGATCCTGTATCCAAAGTTTTTTTAATTTAATGAAAGTTATTTCTTATTATTATTTTTAATGACCTATATTAATATAGTTGCCAATAATATAAAGTAAAAAAACTTAAAAAAATAATAGAATGTGGTTATAAATTAATCAAGGTGATTTATATAGAAAAATTAGTTTTATATCTGGTCAAACTTATTTCTAACTCGTGATGTTGCAATGAACTTTAGATAGAAGAGAATTCTTGTCTGCTTCTAAAAGGCCCCCCAGATATAGCCATTTGTAACCTGATTAAATTTTTATGGTGATTTTTTTAGGCAGATTACAGCATTATCGCTGACTATTAATTTGAAATCAAATTTTCTTCAATCACCTAAAACTGAGATTGAACTTAAAGCTATTAAAGAAGTATGTTTAAATTTTAATTTAACACACATACTGAGATAATTATAAATAAAACTAGATTATAACAGTCATAAATTTAAAAATGAAAAATGATAAGTCTAATTAATTGAACAATTAATTTAATAAATTTGTCGATTAATTACACGGCTAACTCAATTGATAATTATATTGATAATTTCATTTTTAAATTATCTCGAATAAACCTAAGATTTAAATGAAGAGAAGAAAATATCACAATTTTAATAGTAAATTGTTTTGTTTTTAATATTTATTAGATATTTTATTTGGAATATTTAAATACAATATATTATGAAAATTCAGTTTCAATAAGAAAACACAGAAATAGTTGTTGAAAGTTTATGAAGTTTTGAAATTAATCATATTATTATTATGGGTTTGTTAAAAGAAGATTTGCTTATTGAATAATTAGGAAAAGAATAAATAGATATCCAGATGGATTTTTTATAATAAGAGAAAAAATATTTAAAAGACAGTTTGATTCTTGAGTAAATTAAAATAATTTTATATTATATTTATTTTGATAATTTATCATAAAGCATAAAATGCTTCAATCCTTATGATAGACATAAATGAATTAATACTATTTCCATTTTAGTTGTAGAATCTTAATTTTGAGATTAATTAATCTTTAAATTTGAAAGTATTTACAGTTTTACCAACAATTGCAAATAATTTCTTTGAATTAATTAAATTTTAAAAGTATGAAAAATTGTAATTTCTTATATATAAATTTTTATTCCATACACCAAAGGAGACTTAACCTTGATATAACAAGCTTTCTGTTTTTCTGTCTGCTCCGGTTGCAAAAATTTGTATATAATATATTCTATTATAATCATCCATCATCCAAAATCTAATCTTGTTAATTTCATAGGTTTATCTAAATTCAACAATTATTGAACCACCAATAAAATTAGCTAGATGTCCCATTATTCCAGTTACGTATAGATAATTTAAATTTCTCAAAGGGCTACAATCAATATTTTTGGATGGAGATTAAATATTTTCTTTTATAGATGATAGAAGTGCTCCATTAAAATAGGATGCTATAGCTGAAAATTGAACATCCTCTTATACATCCCTGTAATGTCCTCTTTATATTGAATTAATTTGTGCGTAATTTTTATCACAGTTGGTATTTTAAAGAGATTATGAAAATCTTGCAATTTGTGAAATTGCTATAATTAAAAGAATTTTCATTAAATATATTATTAACATATAGCAAATGATAATGGTGTCTGCTAAATTTAATAATATTTTAAAAATATATATTCCCTCTCATTTTCCTTAGTAATGTATTAAATCTTATTTAAAAATGAGGTAGATCCGCCAGTAAAATATTTCAATAATTTCATTAATAGAATAATAGGTAAATAGTGAATTGTTTTTGGTCACATTGTAATTCATATTAATCAAG